ATGATCTAATCCTCAACACATATAAAGGGTAAAGTCAGCAGAGCCCGTAAACTAACAATTGCTATGACAAGAAGTTTTTACATATGAAGGCACAATAAATATGGTGATGTGGGATAACTCATGTTATTCTGATATATTTTCATGGGTTATATTTTATATTTAGATAAAGTATATATTCAAAATGAGTTATCTGACATATTAATGAATGAGAAAGTTTGAAGCAATATATTGCTTTAAAAACTGATTTATTTGCTACTTTTCATGAGCTAAGCATGAGACAATCGATCTATGTTTGGATAAAGGAAGAGTATTATTGAAAAATAGGAGTAAACTTGATATTGCTTCTCCATGAAGATTTGGAATGTTCTTGAAGTAACTTTTGCATAAATAAGAGAAAATTTGCTACTTAAAACATGTGAAAAAGCTGAAATATCATTTTCAATTCATGAGTCAAAGAACCTGAAAGTCATATTTTAGGAAAAAAATATCCATTCAAATTAACACCTTTTGTATACAACGAGCACATAATATTCCTTGTCTCTTCAAATTTTATGCTTTATACTTTATAAATACCATTGTGAAGAAATTTAAAGTTAAGTTGAGTTGCTTATTGATTTACATGCTTCATTGTCAATGTAATTGATTAGGCTTTGCATTCTTCTCCTTATGGAGAGCCGGGTAATCCTACAAAAAATGTTGTTTAAAATTCTCTTTACGACCCTTCATCATTGCCTACTTTGAGCAACCATTAGCTACTTTGAGTTCAAAATTGTCATTCATTTATCCTTCTTACTGGTTTGCCAAAGATGATAGATTTAAATTTGACCAAATCTCACAAAGAGTTAATATAACATCAAGCATATGCAATCAAGAAAACTAATAAATCCATGATAGTAAGAAAACTAGCATACGTGCATACGTCTCATGTTCGTGTGCTTAGCTTGATTGTGATGGTGTCATTTTACTACAATTATTGCCCAAGCCAATAAGGCCTTTTCAATAATCAGACTTAAGATGCACATGATAAGGCATGAATCCTTTAATTAGCCACTTTTGTCTTCAATTAGCCCATTATTTAAGTTTTTCAACCTAAGTTTATGCTACTTTCTTTGGCGATGTAACTCATAGTTGCTTTTTTTTTTTTTTTATTAGGTTGGGTTCACAATTTGTTGATGATACCCTTCTTATGGATAAGACTAGAGAAAATTCAGAAAAAAAACTTAAATTATGGAGGTCAACTTTATAGTCTAAAGGCTACGAGTAAATCTAAAACTAAATACAAGGACTGTAATATTAGTAATAGTAGATCAAGTGGTGGGGTTATAACAATGAGTGATTAAGTCATTAAATGAGTAAATGATTTAGATATCTTAGATCTATTGTTAAAATGATGATGAGAATTCAAGTTGGATGGTTGAAGTGGAGGAATGCATCCGGCCTTTTGTGTGATAGAAGAGCGCCGCGTAGACTTAAAAGGAAAATTTTATAAGATGGTGATAAGACTCGAAATGCTTTATGATCTAGAATGTTGGCATGTAAAAGAGAAGCATAAAATAAAGTTAAGAGTTGTTGAGATAAGAATGCACAGGTGGATGAGTGGTTTTACACTTAGAGACCAAATGCAAAAGGAATATATCCATGAAAGGGTTGAAGTAGCTTCAGTGGCAGACAAAATTAGAGAGGGTTGTCTTGGATGGTTTGGTCACATTAAACGGCCATCTAATGACCGTGTTAGGAGAGTAGATGCTGTAAATTTGACTTATGCTTAAAAATGTAGAGGCAAACCTAAAAAGACTTGGGAATGTTACATAAAAAATTATCTTCATTTATTAGAATTAGATGAAAATATGACAGTGGAGGATTCATGTAGTCGACCCCATAATGGGATAAATGCTTGTTGTTTTGTTGTTGTTGTAGGCTGGGTTCACTGCCTCCCTAAATAAGTTGACTCGGGTCCATGAAAACTAAAAATTATGGTACATTAGGAGTTAGGATATTGATTGAGCTTGCAATCATTCCCTTACTATCCACTCAAAGCAAATAATAGCACATTCTTTCCCCAATCTAAATTATTACTACTAAAAATAAATATTATAGAGCATATAAACAAAGATTAATTGAATTTTCTCCCATGTTATAGAGAAGTAATCAACCATAGGAGTTTACACAAATAAGAAAACTCATACAATATTATAAAACTCATATAAAATGCTGAAATATTTTGGTAATGTCTTATCTAACATCCAATTTAGAATCTGAAAGAACTCACTCTCTTATGGTAGAAAAGTTGGGTAAGAATTTTTAAAGCCCGCAATATTCTTTAACGATTGAAGAAAATAAACTTTATCGCCTATGAAGCACGGACATTTCTAACAAACAAGTCTAAGTAGGATATGGCTCTAAGAAGCCCCGATGTGCTCAACACATTACAAACTATGTCGGGATTTTTGTAGCTGTAAAATTGGGCTCTGATATGGTAGGGAAACAATGTAGGACATGAGAGACATGAGAAACGGGCTATGAGTCACAACTAATCCAAAAATAAAAAACATGTATTGCCCTAACCTGGCTATTCTCAGGCTGAGACACGGAAGATAATGAGGATGCCAATATATTTATTAAAGCTCATTTTGAAGAAGATACAAAGACAAGAAGTTCATTTTGAAGCCAAACGCGTGATGGTGTAGATGGAATGGGATGAAAACAACAGCAGATCTTGTTTGTTCGAAGATCTTTCAATCACAAGTAATATACAAAGTCAAACGCAGGATATGAAGAAGTCTCGTGTGTCTCAACAACTCAGATTGTGGCTTTCATGTAAATGTAGAAAATTTCATTTTGATTTATAGAAATTGTGCTTGTTCGAATACATCTATTAGCATTTATTTCACTGTGATTTATAGACTCGTTAAATTCATGTAGATTATAATTGCTTGTGTATCTATTTGAACCCCTATTTCCCTTTGTCTTGTATATTTAGGAAAACTTATTCAAATGCATTTATTTTTATATCATATTTTTATTTTATATTTCATATTAAGTTTTTTTACAATTATAAGCTATATCTATGCAAAAGCCCAATTATGAATGTCTTTAGTAGAGAACAATAAAAAAAATAGACTTTATATTAGTAATTCTTTAAATATAAAAACCTTGTCAATGTAGCATCGTGTTCGTGTTTGTATACACAAGTTATTGCTTCATAGTTTATCACTAATCATCACATATTTCATATTAAATTATAGGGTTTGTGGAAAAATATTGCTCCAACAAATATTCCCGATGGTTGCCTTCTAAACCAATTTGTGTTGGGTGCATGTTGGACCGTCATTTGTAAGTCAGTAGTTCATGCACACTTTCATAATTTCACAACTTCATGTGAAAATATCACGAGTTATTATATCTTCCATGCTCTCCTTGCTTGTTAACCTAAGCCTATTCTACGATTTTAAGCCCCAAAGTTGCCTAAACAATTTTTTATTGAATTGCCTTTTTACATTCTTATATAAATGAAGCTTGCCTATTAAATGCCCATAGCGGAAAAGGTCATGGCTATCATGGATAAGTGTACTCAATCTTTTATTGATGTTCAGGACTTTCATGTAATCTCATGTTCATTCATCAAAATTTTATTAACAACTTCAATATGGTTTCACTCCATCGATAGAACTACTAAGGAGAGAAGCTTCTATTGATGTCAGTAACTCAATCTCATTTTGATGTTGTAAATGATAATATAACAAAAGCTCATATGTTGGCTTAGCATATTTCAATTGACTTAGAAGTGGATTGTGATGCCTCCCATGTGGAAAGTGGTGTTATTTTAAGTCAGGGCCAAAATCCAATCATAGTCTTGAATGAAAAGTTAAAAGAGGCACATAGCAATTACTTCGAATAAGATAAGGAGTTTTATGCCATTATTTAAGCCTTGAAGCATTGAAACAACTATCTTCTAGCTAATGAGTTTATCTTGTACTTTTATCATGACACCTTAGTATATCAAAATAGCCATAGTAAGTTTGAGAGTTGACATACTAGGTGGGTCAAATTCCTTTATTCTTTCTAGTATATCTAGAAGAATAAATCCAACATTCAATTCAAAATTAATGATGCCCTCGATTTTTGGCATTCCCATCTCAATACTCTCCAATTGAAGGTAATCGGGTTTTGTTGGATATCCTCTCGCTTAAATTTGTTGTCAGAAACAACAATATGTTGCAATACAAAGGGAGAAACTATACCAAGCTATAAATCAAGAAGGATAAGGGTTTAAAAACTTGGCTCCAATGAAAATTTATTGACGTGGGAAACTTATCGATGAATAGCAAATGACAACCTTCCCATAGTCTTCCTTGGAAGTCCAAAATCTAGCCATATTTAAAAATAGGAACAAAACTTTGTGCCAAAAATATTTAACTGAAGTTTGAGAGATGATCAGTGGTGATAATAATAGACACCAAATAAAAATGCAGCAGACATGGTAGGATGATATCATCCAAACAATGAGCCCCTAAGAGGTTGAGTAACGAAAAGGAGAAAATGGTTACAGGCTTCACTCGAAGAACAAGTAGCAGTGAAGTATATGATCAACCCCTTTAATTGAAGAGGGTAGAAAGTGGTAAAATATTTATCTCTTAACGAAAATGGCTTCCCCCAGTAATATTCCGGTAACCTATGATAGTCTCCACAAACAAACAATAATTCCTACAACAACGGGAGTTTCTCCAAACTGAAACCTCTAAACTATTAAACCCCGTATTTCAGTTCAAGTCCAGTAAGCTTCGAAGGGAATAAAAATTTGATTATGAAGGAAAAGAACAAAACAAAAGCATCAACGATGAAAAAGCAGGGAGTAAGAATACCAGAGCTCTACGACCATTTGAATGGCAGAACAAGCTACATTTAATTTGATAGCCAACTTAGCTCAAAACAAGAAATCGCAATAAATATTATATCAATCGACGTGAGACAACAATTCATGAGTGGTTGATGGAGCTTACCATGAGGTATTCGGCGGCGTCAGGCGGCGGCGCGAGTTCGCAGAAGGAGACGAGCCCCGATATGAGATCCGCATCCAGATCCAAACCAGTCTCCATCCTCTCACAGACCTCCATCAAAGCCTTCTTCAGCCACTCCCCCGACTCCATCCTCCCTCTCTCTCTATCGGCCACCCGCGATCACTAGATCACTACCGACGGAGTCACGGAGGTTAAGATATCGGATCACAGTTCAACCACGTCGATCCTGAAATGGATCTGAAAAAGTGGATCGTTGGCCGGGCAGGACAATGTTATTAAAATTAGCCTAATAGAGGTTGGGCTAGCTCAACAAGCCCAAAGAAGAATTGGGCTTAGTTTAGGAACATAATGGCGCGGTGTCGTCTGTTCTTTAAAGTAGGGCTGTCAAAACTGCTCGTTGTTCGCGAACAGCTCGTGTTCGGCTCGTTAAGAAACTCGTGTTCGGCTCGTTAATTTTGTTCGATAAGTTAACGAGTCGAACACGAACTAAGATGTGTTCGTTCGTGTTCGGCTCGTTTTGGCTCGAAATACTACTCATCAAGTTTATATATATATTAAGTAGTATTTTAAAAAAATCTAATTGACTACAAGACTACAAAGATTTATAATCAATTAAAATATTGATAAATAAAATATAATAAAAATCATTAAATTAGATTCGAATGATGTTTTAATATAAATAATAATTTTTAAAATTTGCTCAAACCCTTATTGTCTTATGTCTTATGGCTAAATGATTAGGGTTGTTAAAAAGACTCTTTGTTCGTGAACAGCTCGTGTTCGGCTCGTTAAACAAACGAGCCCAACACGAACACACTTTTTGAGCTCGAAATATAAACGAGCCGAACACGAATCTATCGGCTCGTTTACACCCCTACTTTAAAGCTTTAGTAATTGGACCAGTTATCCATGATTTCTATGAATTCATTAAACTTTCTTTGAAATAAATATATTTGAAAATTATGAAGGAATTTTCAAGTTTTAGTTTGTCTCTGTCTCAATGTATGTATTATCTCTTAAAATAAGGGTATGATTCTATTTATAGGATTTGAGAGAGATTTCTCTACAAATTAGTAAGGAATTTAGACCATCCATCAGATGGCCTAGAGAGATTCTCTCAATTCAACGACTTTTGGAGAATATTTGAATGTCTTAATCATGTCAGAATTAAGTGAACTTAGACTCGTTAGACTTGTCTTGACGAGATGCTCGATTTTTATATAAGCTTGTCAAATTTGAATTATATTTGATCTTTCAATTATGCACTGACGCCTTCCAATCTTAGACTCGTTGGACTTGTCTTGACGAGATGCTCGATTTTTCTATAAGCTTGTCAAATTTGAATTCTATTTGATCTTTCAATTATGCACTGACGCCTTCCAAAAATAGTTTAACAGCTTGATATGTGCTTAATTTGACACAGGTTGGACAAATTTTAGTATCATTGGGCTCATCTCATCGAGCCAACAATTTTGATTGTAAGTTTTTTTAAATTGGAGTTATGGATAATTTTTAATCAAAGTTTGAACATTTATTGCTCAAAAAGTTATCTCATGATTTATGACATGCATCATGATGATGTCAAATCATAAATTTGTTCATGATATATCAAGAGTAAATCTATGTGGAGATCATTGTACAAAGAAGAATTGAAGTGGAGCAAAGTAAGATTTCTCTTTAATTAGATTGTACTTTTTTATAAAACACTTTTTTATTTTATTTTCAATGAAAAAAATAAAAAAATATTAAAGTGTTTTATAAAAATCTTTATGAAACATTTTTTTGAAGTGGAGCAAATTGAGATTTCTCTATGTGATTCCCTAAGAAAAGTGATGGTTTTATTGCAAGTTAGTGTGTTTTCTATTCAATCTTAATTTCTTTCAATTTGACCAATTTAAATGATAAAACTTCTTGTGATCTAAGATATTGATTGTTGTGAAGTAGAGCATAAAGCTCCCAGGAGCACACAACCGCAAGAAGCAACAGATGGAGCAAAACTTCTATGCCTCCAAATGGGTGCTTCTGTGCCTAAGCTTGGCGCAGGCACGCCTGAAACAAGTAGTGTGATTACGTTGCATTTCGGCATGGTTGCGTAGTGGCTCTTTAGGTTCTAGTGTTTGAAACCAAGCACACAAAATATTTACACTACTTTGGGTCGTGGCCACACAACTAGGACAGTTTCTCATGTTACGATTTGTAAGTCACGATGCGAGGGACGAAAGTTGTCTCTCCGTGTGTGATTCTTTTCAATAAGATTTCTTCGTGGAAGGTGAATTATCAGGAGGGTATTTCATAGTGATGGCTCTCTCTTGCTAGATCGAGAGAAAAGTTTGGAGGGAAGTTTTGTGAGTTTTGAGCTTGTAGAAGGATGATCTTTGTGATATAATCTATAAGTTTCTTCGATTCATAGTGAAATTTCTTGGTGGTGTGGCTCCATAGTTTTTTTTGTATTCTTTAGGTTTTCCATATATGTATGGGTGTGCTTTTTTGGGTTTTTTTTAATGTGTTGTTCAAAATTTTGTTCAGAATTTCTCGAGTTGTTGTGATCCTATTCCACGTTGTGCTTTTGATTTATATTGATCAAAGTTCTAAATGTGTATTTGGATCCCAATAAGTGGTATCAGAGCGAGGTGTTTGGTTCAAGTATGAGCAATGGTTGACGAAGTAAGATACAAATTGGAAAAGTTTAGTGGATACAATTCACATTGTGGATGATGCAAATAAAGGATTTAATATATCATAACAAATTATATTTGTCACTACAAGAAATCACCAAGAAGCCTGAATTATAATTATGAAGGAATGGAAAGTGCTTGGTCGAACAACTCTAAATAAAATGAGAATTAGGATATATGAAAAACATTTTCGTTTATTACAATCAATATTGTGAAAAATCATGATGGATCTTATGGAGGCGCTAATAAAGATATATGAAAAACCTTTTACTTTTTAAAACATTTTTCTAATGAAAAGGTTATTAAATATAAAGATGGTGGGGAACAGTTCAATTGTTGAACACTTGAACAATTTCAATACTGTGACTAGTTAGTTGTGTTCTGTGGAGATCATTTGATGATAAGGTAAGAACACTATTAACTTTGTCTTCATTGTCGTATAACTAGGATGATTTGTTCATGGAAGTGAGTAACTCTTCTAGAAACATGAAGTTAAACTTCAATGACATTGTGGGGCTAGTGTTGAGTGAAAAAAATTACAGAAAGGCAGCAAATGGTAAATCTTCAACTTTTGCATTGAATGCTAAAAACGGGAGGGAGAATCTGGATATTAATACAGGAATAAACTTATTCAAGTCCAAATGAGGAAAGACCATGTTAAGGAAAGTAAATGACAAAGGAGAATGCTAAAAAATGTAGAAATAAATGACATTTTTAAGGACTCTAAAGCTTCAATAAAGGTTGGTGGTGGAGGACAATAAATGAATCTCTCTATAAATGTCTCCACAGACAAAATTCAAGGGGACTCCTTAGTTTTATCTCTAATTAGTTCTAAGTCTTAGATAGTATATTCAGGCACCTCTTTCCATGCATGCATTAAAAAAGAGGTGTTTAAAAATTTCACTCTAGAGTGATCTAGAGAATATTTATTTGGGAGACAGCAAGGTCTATAATATCGTGGGAGCGAGTGATGTGAATATCTATCTAGTTTCTAAATATAACTGTTTGAAAGTTTACTAAAGTTAGATGTGCTCCAAATTTAAAGAGAAATTTGATCTTTTTGAATCAACTGACAAAGTTATGGTACATAAATAAAATTGCGGATTTTAAAAGTAAAGCATGTCCCTGAGTGTTTTAAAAATGAGTTCAAATAGTACTTCATGTGGACTATTTTTATACTTCTATAAAATTTAAGATTAATACCGTCCCATGTAAATAATCGAAGATTGTTTGTGCAGTTTACTTTAAAAAATAATATCATGAAAATAATCATTGAAGTAAAATGTCAACTTAAAGAAAAAAAAAATGAACATATCATCCATGTAAGTAAGCGAGCAAAACATAATCTATTCCAATTATCACAATAAAAAAAAATTTGAACATACCATTGATGTGAGCAAGCGAGCAAAACATAATCTATTCCAATTATCACAACAAATTCCCATGACCAAGATTTCATACCCATGTCTCCCTATCACACAACAACAACCGAACCTTCCAATTAATGATTTTGCATCGATTTAATTTTCAAAATAAAATACAATAAATAAGTAATTGGGCCCGATTTGAAGCCCATTCATTGTCCCCTTGTGTGGCCCGACCTCGGGCTCGCCAAACGTGTAGCCAAGCGTGTAATCCAAGTCAAAAAAGAAATAGGTCAATGTCAAACCCTTGGAACCCAAGTCACCTATTGGGGGGTTTTTTATAATTTTGAAATTTGCAAAACTGTCCAATGCCCGAGAAAGAATAGAAGCATCCCATGTATGATTCCCATGAACCATACTTACATATTCAATGCTCTTAGAATTAAGTATTGTTACCTTTTTAAGCATGCAATCTTCCTCACTCCTATGAATTTAATGCTGCCGATTTATAACCCTTTAATAATTTAAAAATGAACCTATTGTTAGTGTGTTGTTATCAAATATTATTTATGAAGATTTACATACATAGTACTTAAACTCCTTTATATTTATATATTTAACACCAAAAATTTAGTTTTTACATGTATAACACTTTATCGAAGAATGAAAAATATGTTGCGAGAGATAGATACCAGTTGATATGTTATATATATATATATATATATATATATAAATCAAACAGGAGAATAATCTTTGAAACGAAAAATAGAACAAGAAAATTCACACCAGAAAACAGTAACACAGCGGAACACACAGATTTACGTGGTTCGGCAAATTGTCTACGTCCATGGAGTTGTAGAAGATTTTACTACTTGAGAGATTTACACCAGTCGATCACCTCGACTTACAAGAGGAGTCTCTCACTCTCACTTCGTTGCTCTCTCTTCTTCTCTCTCTGTTCGTCTCTCTCTACACCGAGATATACCGAAGAATATTTACACCGAGATAGAAATAAACTCAATTTTTTTTCAGACACAAACCACCAAGAAGAAGTTAAGGGAAAACAATCTTCTTCTTTTTTCTTCTTTAGGAACTATTATTTGCACTTTCCTCCATTCTA